TACCAGTTTCTGTGCCAGATGCATTCCTTTCTCTTTTCCTTTTGACAGTGATGTGGCGAGGCCCTATAGTGGGGAAAGAGACTCTGATCCTCGACGATCCGATCGCTCCACCCCTGAGGTAGGATCTACATTTACACAGGTTAGGTCGTAGAGTGTCGCAGAGTGTCCTAGAGTAGAGTAGAGTAGAGTAGAGTAGAGTAGAGTAGAGGTCGTAGAGTAGAGTAGAGTAGAGTAGAGTAGAGTAGAGTAGAGTAGAGTAGAGTAGAGTGAGTAGTCGAGTCAGCGAACGAACAAGGAACAACCTCGTCATGCTCCCCTGTCTGCACGCACAGGGGAAACCCCTGGGCCTGGTTAAATTGGATCCTAAAGCCTGGGAATGGAGAGCGAAAGGTTAACACGGTGAGAATCTGTGTATTCTATAGACGACACACAAAAGAATGAGATACAACTTGCTTCTTCCTGCTAAGGACCCCTGGGCCTGCGTAAATTGATTGCTCTTACCAGATGGCAGACACCACTACTAATGGACACGGATCCTAAATCTGTTTCCCAAATTATTAACATAACAAGCTGCTGGACTGAGATGAAATCAATTCCTTCTCAAAGACGAGCTGCAATACTATGGTTAATCTCAACGGTCGTACTACCCCCACTGCTGTCTGGTTGCTGGAACATGGTGTAAAAGTGGAGACTACTGGATGCATGAGATGCCACTGGCCATCTGACTCCCTGATACACCTTTGGTGGTGGGACTGCCCACATTCAGCCAGAATCTGGCGATGATGGATCGAATATTGGAATCAGGCCGCAGACAACGGGTTGACAGTGATCTGGCACGGACGCAATGGCATCAGCTTTTTACAGCAAAGAATGGACTAACAAACAAGCAAACAAACAAACAAATCAAGGCCGAAATTCACCAAGCACTAAGAAGAGCAATCCTGGCGGACTGGCGATGCAAGGGATCAAAGTCGGACAATCCCCGAATCTGGACGACGACCGTTAAGAAGAGCGAGTGCTCAGTGAACTGGCACGGACGCAATGACATCAGCTTTTACAGAAAATTCTAGACTGACAAACAAACAAATTAAGACCAAAATTCACCAAGGACTAAGAAGAGCAATCCTGGCGTCCCAGGCGTACCAGGAACGCAAGGTATCGAAGTCGGACAATCACCGAATCTCGACAGCAAAATGGTTAAGAAGAGCAATCCTGCCGGACCGGAGATGCAAGGTATCGAAGTCGGACAATCCCGAATCTGGACGATGATGGTCCCATGAGACCTGGGGTCTGAATCAATCATCAGTTGTTTCAAGACTTCCAGTTGCATGAGACCTGGGGTCCGAATCAATCATTGGTTCAAACCTCATTAGCCAACAAGTTAGTTAATTCTAGACAAACGGTTTTATGGAGCTTAGTTGTCCCCGTGGAGACTGACCTGCACACATTCAGTATAACGGAAAGAAATCGCCGGAGATGGGCAGGAGATGGGCAGGAGATGGGCAGGAGATGGGCAGCAGGTGTAAGGCTGTGGAGGGAGCGTGGCAATAAGGTACAGAGGTCCGTGCTGGCATTTAAAGATGCACAACACAGAACAGTAGCCTTCCTGTCTACCTTGCAAAAGCCAGGACAGGACCCGGCTATGGAGAGAGAACTATGTGTTTACTGGGACATGTAATGAATGCCTACCTTCTTCACCCAAATAAAATGAACGGTCATTATTTAGACTGAAAGATACCCCAAATACATACAGCTATAATGACCGTACGTTGTATTCGGGGGAAGAAGGAAGCATGCGGTGATTTACTTATATACTCTGTCTGAATATGAATCTGTTTTCTGTAGACATACATTTCTTGTTGACATGGACTTTTGCCTAATTCTTTGCAGATCCTGTGTGTTTCGTGGGATATTTACGCAATTGTGCGAGAAAACACTTTCATTGCAAAACCAAATGCACAAATGCCCCTGACAAAACTTGGCTCACTGGCGTTAGTCATTCTCTTCTGCTCTTGAATTGTCCTTCTTGTTGACGGGCAAGTCAACATTTTGACGGTTTTCCAATACTCACATTAGCACTTTTTCACGTACTTTCTGGACGGAGTTGCGGCCAGATGCATATAAGTCCGGCCGTAAATGTGGTCAGGTACATTTAAGATATAGTGTGGTAGTGTGAGTACATTTTCCCAGTTGTCCAACAGTCTCCCTCTCGCGTTGGGTTCCATCCGGGTGCTGGAGTGAAGAGAGAGGATGGTGTTTGAGGGCATACTCACACTAGCACTTTTTCACGTACTTCTCGACGGAATTGCGGCCAGATGCATATCAGTCCGGCCGTAAATGTGGTCAGGTACATTTAAGATATAGTGCGGTAGTGTGAGTACATTTTGCCGGTTTTCCAATGGTCTCCCTCTCACGTTGGGTTCCATCTGGGTACTGGAGTGATGGGAGAGGATGGTGGATGGTGTTTGAGGGCATACTCACACTATCACTTTTTCACGTACTTCTGGACGGAATTGCGGCCAGATGCATATAAGTCCGGCTGTAAATGCGGTCAGGTACATTTAAGATATAGTGGCAGTGTGGGTACGCCCTGAGAGGGTCTTCTTCCCCATGATTACCCTCGCACGAAGAATGATGACCTGACAACAAACCGCGAATGCTGAGGGAAAAGAAAAAAAAAAAGAATGCTGAGGGCATACTCACAGTAGGACTTCCCCGGATGTATATGACCGCTTTTCCGACCCAGCCTGGATAAACATGACCGCAATTACGTCCACAGAGAAGTGGAAAAAAATCCTACCGGTAGTGCGACTATGCCCTGACTCAGAACGAACTTGGCTAGACAGCCACGAGGAAAGTGTAGCACACTTACCAAAAAAAAAAAAAAAAATCGATTTAAGTTCATTTAAATGTTCCATGAGTAGACTAAAAGAAGAGGGGTAGAAATCGTTGTCCTTTTTTTTTTTTTTTTTTTTTTTCCCAGCAACTCGGAGTTCACACCAGCAGCACAGCTACGGACAGGAGAAGGTCACCGCAATACACAGTT